AAAATAAATTCATCAAACAAAATAAACTTTTTAGAAACAATGAAAAGCATTTCTACAGGCAACTGAAAACAAAGGGTGATGGTGAACATGACAAACGGCCTCCCATGGATGCCAATGAAAGGTTCTGGAAACAGTTGTGGTCTGTACCCGGCGACTGTAACCTGGAGGCACCATGGGTCCGTGATTATGACCAAGCAATGCATGAGAAGGTAACTAGGTCGTTTGTCTGTTACATCTCACCAGATTGCCTGAAAAGTGTCATCAAAAAGTCCAAATCTAATACAGCTCCAGGGCCTGATGGCATTCGAAACCGGTATTGGAAACTGTTCCCCTGTGTCCAAACACCATTACTACACTGTTTCAATTCTCTCGTGGACACAGGTGATGTTCCTCCATGGTTCTGCAAAGGTCGCACAATACTTCTCCCCAAGAAAGGAGACTTGACTGATCCCAAAAACTTCCGCCCTATTACATGTTTGAATACACAATACAAAATATTCACAGGGTGTTTGACAAACCTTGTGTCATCTTACTGCTCTTCCAATGATATAATTTACAGAGAGCAGAAGGGAGCAAGAAAGGGATGTTGGGGGTGCAAGGATCAACTTCTTGTACAGAAAATGATTTTGGAAGAGGCTAAAGCATATCACCGCAACCTCTCCATTTGCTGGATTGACTACAAGAAAGCATACGACTCTGTCCCTCACGAATGGATTCTGAAGTCTCTTCATTGTATTGACCTCCCTGAGCGACTACTTGATTTACTCAAGTCTTTAATGAGTTGCTGGTCGACTCAACTTGAGATGTACTCGCATGGGCAGGTGCAGACTTCAGAATCTATTCCAATCAGAAGGGGCATTTTCCAGGGGGATTCCTTTAGTCCTTTGCTTTTTTGTCTGTCTTTAAATCCTTTGAGCTTTCTGCTCAATAAAGAGGAGGGTTACCATCCCGGACCTCCTCAGCACAGATCCCCAACACCTCTTACTCATCTCCTTTACATGGATGACATCGAGCTCCTTGCCAAAGGAGATTCCAATTTGAAAGAGCAGGTTCTCCTTGTCGAGTCCTTTTCTAATGATATTGGCATGACATTTGGACTCGACAAATGTAATACTCTTCATATGAAACGTGGCAAGGTAGTTAATGATGGATCGGTCAGGTTACAAGGGGGAGAAGTTATTGAGCATCTTGTGGAAGATCAGGCCTACACCTATCTTGGAATGCAAGTTCGAGACAAGCTCCAGAATGCCCAGATTCAAGACAAACTTCGGGCCGAGTACAAATCTCGTTTAAAGAAAATCTGGAGCTCAGAGCTAAATGCTCGAAACAAGGTCAAAGCCACCAATACTTTTGCTGTGCCAGTCCTCTCCTATTCCTTTGGAGTAGTTGACTGGACGAAACAAGACATCCAGAGTCTTGACCGCGTGACCAGAAGGATCATGTCTGATAACAGAGCCCACCACCCTCGTTCTTCTCTTAACCGTTTATATATGCCAATCAGTTCTGGAGGTCGGGGTTTGATTAATGTGGAGGCTCTTCATGACAGAATTTTATTGTGTACTTTTGCACATATTTATTTATCGGATGATCCTCTAGTGATGCATGTGAAGACTCATGATGAAAGCAAGGAATTCCACAGCTATTTTAAGCGTGCCAAGGTTGTTGGACAAAATCTGAAATTTGAGGTTGACTTTGCTGATGGCAATGTACTGCTGGACGGTACAGCGATGGGAGTAAACCAGGTGAAGTCCTTTACCAAGTCTGCCCAGAGTCGGTCTTTTGTGGAGAAGCTTTCTGAGAAACCATTGCATCGTGTTTACATGCAGTGTGTTGAACAGAATAGCAATCCCACCGACTCCTTCGCCTGGATGAAGTCGGCTGGTCTTAAATGTGAAACTGAGGGCTTCCTTTTTGCTGCTCAGGACCAGTCACTTCCCACTCGTAATCGCCTAAATGTGATTCTTAAAGAGAATATTAACATGAAATGTCGACTTTGCAATGAATTCACAGAGACTGTTCAACACCTTGTCAGTGGATGCCCTTCCTTGGCACAAACAGCATATCTTAAACGACATGATGGCATGGCTCGTTGCGTTTACTACCGTCTCCTAAATGCCTGTGGCTTTGACTCCGAGGTCCATCCATGGTACGACCCTGAACATGTCCAGGGCGTCATGGAAAATGATGCTCTCAAACTTCTGTGGAATAGGCCCATATACAGCCTCAGAAGAATTCCAGCTAACAAACCTGATCTTGTCCTTTTTGATAGAGCCAATGAATTTATTTATATCATTGAATTTTCTGTCCCTTTTGACACCAATGTGATTGGCAAGATTAAGGAAAAGCATTATAAATATGCGGACCTCGTCTTTGAAATGTCTCGCTTGCATCCCAAGTACACTGTCGTCAGGCACCCCATTGTTCTCGGTGCCCTTGGTTTGGTACGTCCTGATCTCTTGGCGCAGATCAGAAGAGTGCCCGGGTTCTCCACCGGGAGTACAGCCCTTCTGACACTCTGGGTAATGCAGAAGGCTGCAGTGTTGGGGAGCCTTCATATTCTCCGGAAAGTTCTTGGTGGGTTCGACTAGGCAGCGTTTCATGGGAGAAGTCCCATTTGCTGTCTGGGCTGCGTGTAGAGGGGGCAAGGGCCCTGAGCTGATGATGAGCCTTACCAGCCTGACTGTGCCAGGATCACCCGAACCCTCTCTGCTGCATACAATTTTTAATCTGTAAAACATAATAATAATAATATATAGCGCCTTTCCACGTCACAGGGATATGCTCAAAGCGCTTCCTGAGCTCAAGTTAAAACTATATACAGTTGGCAGGTACGGATGATTGATTGACTATTTAGGTGTTTTTTTAAACTTTACAAATGACCTTTATCTTATGCAATTCTGTGTTGTGCACAGTTACTTTTTCCCGTTAGAATATAATCAACAGATCATAATAAATTGTAATACATTTGGCACAAGTCATGGCACTGACCGGAGTTCATCATGGCACATATGAAACCACCGAATGTCAGGGAAAGGGTCATCTGTTCCGAATATTCCCCGTGTGAGTCAAACCGGCTTGGCATCGTCGCCCCATTGAACCCACCAGATTACGAATTCTGGCCTGGTGAATGTTCACCTACTATTCCTACAGTATTTGTGTAAACTGTTGGAGGTTCTGTGGTTGTTGCTGAGGTTAGGTCCCATACTGCCTACAGTTCCAAATTGCCTACATCCCAAACTGCCAACAAAAACAAAGGCAGCGTGGGAAATGATTTTTTGCCCTGTAGAATAATGGAACAGCCCAATTATCAATGAAGAAGGGGTGTGTCGTTTGGAGTAAGGTAATAGTAGTTATTTGCTTTATTTAATGTGGCACGCACAACTAAGGTATTTCGGCGACGGGGTAGTACACTTATTAAGGAATGAGGGGAACGAAAAATAGAAATTAGTAGTAAATGGTTATTGTTATTGTATTTTTTAACCAACCCATGTTTAAAAACATATTTATTAAGTGAATAATGATAAATATATAAAAGGTTAAAAAATGAACTTGATAAAAAGAGAGAACTGATTTAAAAAGTTAAAAGAACATATATACATATTTATAATAATTTTTAAAATGGTAAAAAGTGGTATTATTGTTTTTGTTGCTAGATTGTTTGGTATAATTTTGTATGAATGAGATATTTAGTGAGTGGTTTCATTAATTTAGGATTTGTTAGAATGTGCTTGAAATCAGAAGAGTCCTACTGGTTTTGGTATCTACATACCCAAAAAGCCTTAAATAGTCCTATAATCTCCCGGCAAACTCCAGCATCTTCACAGCAGAACTCGCAGCCATAGTTCAGGTCTTGCAAACAGCATCTGACCAAACAAACACTACCATCTGCATTTTTACGGATTCCTTAAGCTCCATACAGGCTCTCAGAAATTACTCTACAACAAAAAGACCAAAAAGACATCCTTGTCATTTGTGTGTAATTGTGAAACCAGTAAAAGACTGTAAAACTTATACATTGTTCATGATATACCCATGTCTCTATGTAAAGACTGAGAATTCTCAGAATTAATAAAGATGTCTTACCAACCAACACTTGCCATTTTTTTAAACTTCTGTAAGCAGAGTGGGAAGACACCAGAGAACAGGTCAGTTCATTAACCAACTAACTGGTCAAGTTCATTTTAGCAGGGGTAGAACAGGTCAGATCGGTGTATTCCCATTAACTCCACTTCCTGATCACTGGACCCTATCATGTTGTTTTAACCTGTAGGCAGTTTGGAACTGTAGGCAGTATGGGAATACACCGTTGCTGACGTCATCGCAGATCGCCAGCGCCCACCAGCGAATGCCCCAAAATTTCGCTTCATTCCTCCCGCGTGCTTATATTACAGTCAAATTCATACATGTTCGAACGTACTGCCACCTTTCACTCAGGAAAGTGCACTTTTTGAGTGCTTTTAACAGCTATTAAGTCAAAATTCAATGTTCAGCCGCACTCAGCAATATTCCAGCTGTATGGCGGCGGTCTGTATGAGCAATAATCGAGGGTGGACCAGACAATTCAGTGATCAACAGCATGAGCATCGATCTACGCAGTTGGGATTCGATGACATGTGTCAACCAAGTCAGCGAGCCTGACCACCCGATCCCTTTCGTCCCCTCTTACGACAAGCATGGGTTACTGAAGATCAGTTCTAACCTGGATCTTCACGGGTCTCACCCGCATAGGATAACATCCCGTCTTCTTTCACAACAACTATCAACCCCACACTCCATCATCGTTGCCCATAGGGGCGGTGGGGTAGCCCAGTGGTTAAAGTGTTGGCTCGTCACGCCGAAGACCCGGGTTCGAATCCCCACATGGGTACAATGTGTGAAGCCCATTTCCGGTGTCCCCCGCCGTGATGTTGCTGGAATATTGCTAAAAGCGGCGTAAAACCAAACTCAGTCAAACTACTTTAATATTTAGCGGTGTGTATTTGCTTATGACGTTGTTGTTACCTCCCTTTGTAAACAATCCTCCGTGTGTGTGAGCGTCGGTTTCTTCATCGAAGTGTATGTCCAACCTGTCATGTGACAGGGTAGGTGCCTGGTAGTCGTCATCACGAACTAGTCGAGAGGTATGTGCCGATTGTCACGGCAAAATGTGCATGAGACTTTACACTACGTACATGTGTGTCCGCTCAGTTTCAGTCCCCCAGTATTCGTACGTTATCTTTCATATCTTCGTGTTGTGGGGTTTCGGACGCTTAAGAACATCCGTTGTTTTATTAATTATTATATGAACAGTTGTACAACATGTCGCTAACTTATTAAGGACAACTGTATCTCAAACACAAGCCATCATTCGATAATACGATGTTTGTGTGACGTAACCCTCTGCTTATGTAGCGAGAGATATACACGAAAATGTCCGAAAACGTTTGACGTCCGAAAAGAAATAATCGGGCGATGAATCATTACATCAGATTAAGCAATTTTTTATTGCATATTTTTTATTACCTTTCAGTCCTTCAGCATGTCGTGAGCCACCTTAACACCAGATTCTGAATGAAGGCGATACAGGTATATGAGTTTTCCCTTTCATACATCTTGCCACATCAGAGAATGTATCTGCTTTGTCCTCCAGCAGTTTCCTTCCTAGTTTTTATTATGTGTTTAGTGGAACCAGAAATATGGTGAAAGCTCTATGCAATTCATACTCTTGAATATATTTTCACTTGTCAAATTCATGATATGGAAGCTATGATTTGTCAGATGATACGAACTTCACGAAAAATAAACAAATCTGCAACATGTCTAATGTAATTTCGATGGTGGTTGGTGGAGTTTGTACTATCTGGGCAAACAATGATCACAGTGAAAGGTTTTCCTCATCACATATGGATGATTAGTCACATTATCACATGTAAGGACAGGCATCAAAAGTGCGAGAAATAATGTCAGGTTCACCAGACATTGATCAAGAGGAGCGTCATTCAGGTTGAGACATTGTATAACTGATATAAATATCAGACTCTGCAGGCATTTCAGTGGTTCTGAAACTAATTTTCTCTACCTTTAGTCATTATACTCAGCCATTCCTTCACCTGATTAAATTATGTTAAAAAGATGTAAATAATATAGTTTTGTATTAGACCTTTTTAAGATCAGGTCAATCTATATAATGTCTATATACTTTTATTAGTATTCTGTTATTCTCTCTCACCTTGTCAGTACTTTCTATTTCAAATCAATAAAACAGTTTCCAACATGTCCTCAGGCATCTCTGTTATGTCAGACTGTGACAAGATGGATGTCTTCCTATGACCCCAGAAACTCGCACAACAAAGCAAGATTCACAGTGAGGAAAATTGGTAATAATACATCAGTACTTCTGCATCCCTGTTATTGAAGCTACTTATAAAGTTTAAAGGTCACATGCAACCAAAATATCAAACATAATTAAAACACAATTATCACTTATTCATGACATATAATATACATTGCTGGTTATGAAAAAACATAAAAACAAAATTATAAGCGTACAATCGCAAATCAAAAGTGCAATATTGTATACTTCGGTTTACTTCCCAAGAAACGAAGCAGCCGGGATACCGAACCCAGTCAAAGCGGGTGGGTGTGCAATCAAGTGTAACGGCTGGTTCATTTGCGGATGCCTCCCTCATGGCTCATTGTGTGTGTGTATATATAGAGATGTTGGATTTTGTAAATACATGCTCATTTTTTGTGTATAACATTTTGCAATCAACAGACAACATAACATGTCATGTGTACAAGTATCACACCTGCCTGTCTGTGTAATTACATAATGTGACAGAGACCGAACTCGGGCCATAAATCAATGCGTTTTGTTTATGGTGTATAGCCTGATAAGTATTAAGTTCAAATTGCATGTGGTCAGTGATTGAAATTGTGTATTGAAGCAGACACATAGGTGCCAATAAAACAGACATTGAGTTTTGTCTGTGACAACGACATATCTATATCACAGTTAGAAATACGCTAAATAATGACATTGCTTTTAAGTATCCAACTGAGAAAATGACTCAGTAAGAAGAACGTGAAATAGACAAACGAAATTATATAAACAGTTAAATTGGTAATCTACTGTAATAACATATAAAAAGCTCGAGCCTGTGAAATATCAACAAAACATTAGAAAAATAGCTCACACCAAAGCCTTCACCGAATATTCTCCGGACAACCCGCTTCCAAGCTCAGCAAACCTAATTCACTGGGCATGTGCTATGAGCGCAGCCCAGCTGTTAAAACCACTTCAATTCCCCTAAGAGCTGGGGGAAAGTTAGTGAATCGTTTGAACTACGATTTCTACGTTATTTTTCAACTTTATAAGTTGAATTTGCATTTTTGAGGATTTGTTTTGGTAAGTCCATATCGAAAGGTATCAGAATCTGCAAAGTTGTGCTTTACGTTGCATGTGACCTTTAATAGACTCTAACACAGGGTGTATGCTCAAGGCACTAACGTTATGATCAGGGGAAGTATGGCACTTGATTTTCATTCCCAGCTCCCTTGGGAGCATACAACTCAAGCTGCTTATGAGATACACGTTCACTCTTCCTCTCAGAGAAAAATGCAGCATAGCACTGTACTAGTGTTTGGGTCACAGTGAATGGTGAAACCATTTTCCTCAGACAGGAAGATTTCATTTTTTTTACTGTGGTTTCAACCTTGGTTTCACTGCTTGAAACCTACATTCAGATTTCTACACTTCAGTCTGAGTGGTGAGGTGGCCAAGTGGTTAGTCTTCACTCCTTACGCAGAAGGCTCAGGTGCAATGGGTACAATGTTTAAAGCCTATTTCTGGTGTCCCCCGCCATGATATTGCTGGAATATGACTAATAATAACATAAAACTCACGCACGCACACATGCACACACCCATGCATACACCCACTCGCTCACTCACTCACTCATTGCACCAGTCATACACCCAACAATCACCCACTCCTGTTGCATAAAATTGAAACAAAGAACAGTACTCCATTACTAGATAGGGCCAGCCAGGAGCCATCTTTTGTATTTTGGTTTTGGACAGAGAACATTACAACATACAATCTCGCAGACAATTTCGTATTTTTCCAAATGCTATTTTCTTCTCTCAGCCATGATGAGCGAGTGAATGAGTTGTGGTCGATGCCGCTTTAAACAGTATTTCAGTTGTCACAGCATGTCAGCTACCTGGACTTACGAGACATATGGACTTATTTATGGAAGTTGAGTTTGGTCCTGACAAACCCAAAACATAATCAGAATTCAATCCCATCATCACATCTGTCTGGCTTTCTTTATACAGGTCAACTGGGCCACCTGCTTCCATCAAAGACAGGAGTATATATAATATTTGTTTGTCAACATAATGTTGTCTGTCAACATTTCTAAATGAGGATCATTGTCATGGAGATTGTTTCCAAATCTGTCCTGCAAAGACATGAGAAAGCAATCCAAAATTTGTACCAGAAATATATTTTAGTGACATTGTATGAATGGTTGTTGCCAAAACTTGAGGAATCCAGCCTATCATAGCAGTCAAATATACCTTAAACATGTCAGATGTCTAAAAATGTGTATGCATGTTTTTTTAAGGTGAGTGAAATTTGATTCGGTGACGGGTTTACCAATGAGATTTTCATGGTTATGAGACATTTGCTCTTTCTAAAAATGTATTAAAATATTTTTGAGTTATTATGTCCTAATCACGTCCATATTCTGAAAGCTTTCACTTATATTTTCCTGAAAGGTGATTTTTTCTGATTTCAGGAGCCTATTCTATCATTGTGACTTTGGTAGCAAGGTGAGTGTAGTTGCAAGGAGACATCGGAGGTCAACCTACGTATGTATTGGCGTGTCAGTGTATTAACACGGATATGCTGACATGGATGGTTATTACACTTCTCTGATGAAACAATACATCTCTGATAAAATGCCTTCTCCTCACAATTTCTTCCCCCCCACTAACAACTGAGCAAGCAAAGAAACAATGTGTCTATTTATTCAAACTGGCATGGACTGCCAATTTGCCTGAGCATAGTCCCCCTTTAACATGTCATGTGTCAGTGCCATATTTTTCCCAAAACAGTGGCACCCTCCTGTGGATAGAGATACAGTCCATCAGAGGAAGACTGTCCTCATCCCCACAGCTCAGTGTGTTCGACCTTGACAAGTCCTCCAACCCATATATCTACATCCAAGACAGGCAGAGAGACTTAAGAGCTAAGTCTCAAGGTGAAGGTCATATGCAGATTGTCAGGGTTGATAATGCTCCACCTAACTTTGTTACAGTTATATTTTTGCTTAAATTTGCAACAGTTGTAAAATCTAGATCTCTGTATAAGTAGGAAACGGCGCACAAAAATATTCATCCTTTCCAATACTTGTGTCAATATATATTCTTCTTTTGATCAAAAGATGATTAATATACATTCGAGAGCCTGACTCTGTCAGAAGGTATGGTCATTGATGGTTTTGTCTCATGTACTGAACTACCCTAAATTATCTGTTCTCTCAATAGAGATCACTTAGGAACGATTTAGGAGTTGAACAATGCATGCTGAACAAGCTTTTATGATTCATTTATGTTTCATTATGTATTTCAGACATCAGGAAGAAGTATCTTGATCCAGAGAAATTAAAGCAAGGTAAGTCAGACTTAACTAACTTCATTGTTAGATAGATGAGGGACACTCACACAAAAGGGTGGTCACACAAATACAAAGGCACACACATACATTCAGACACATGTGAGAGTGCCCTCACACAAAAAGACTCACACAACAGAGGGGAGACTCACACTGAATGAGAGGGGACATTTACATTAAAACTGGGACATTCACACCCATAATGGGAGAGACAAACACAAGAGGTTATAACTCGCACACACTGGGGAACGCTCACACATGGGGGAGAATGCTCACACACCAGGATAGTCAGCTGTACCGAGGGTCCTCCTGTCCCTGCATTCAGTTTGTCACCTGGTTCAGCCATCTAACAGAATCCATTTTCACTTTCAAAAACATTGTCACACACATACCTTATTCATGTTTAATAAAAAAGCTTGGCAGTAAATAAGGGGAAAATAAGAATAGTGTATTTGTTGCAGAGTCGTGGTTCCCATGGTTACAGTCTTACAGCCAAGATCCCTGGACCTTGCTTAAACTCACCAAGTCCGCAGACAGAAAAACAAGATGGCTGGGGGTCAAGGCCATTGCCGAAATGGAAGACTGGGAGGGTAATCAGACATTCGTCTGAACATATTTAATAATGTCCTACATTCACCATGTGTTTTTCCCAAAATGTTTGAGAGGAGTTTTTCAGAAAAGTATTGGGAGGAGGCTGCTTGTGTATTGTTAGAAAGTTAAACAATGAAAGAAGCATGTTGCCAGGGTATGAAACTCCCAAAAATTTCAGCCAACTGGTCAGATGTAAAACTTGCCAGCCCTGACCAAAACTTACCTGCCCTGACCAAAACTGACCTGCCCTGACCAAAACTTGCCAGCCCTGACCAAAACTTACCTGCCCTGACCAAAACTTACCTTCCCTGACCAAAACTTACCTGCCCTGACCAAAACTTACCTGCCCTGACCAAAACTTGCCAGACCTGACCAAAACTTACCTGCCCTGACCAAAACTTACCTTCCCTGACCAAAACTTACCTGCCCTGACCAAAACTTGCCTGCCCTGACCAAAACTTGCCTGCTCTGACCAAAACTTGCCAGCCCTGACCAAAACTTGCCTGCCCTGACCAAAACTTGCCTGCCCTGACCAAAACTTGCCTGCCCTGACCAAAACTTACCTGCCCTGACCAAAACTTGCCTGCCCTGACCAAAACTTGCCTGCCCTCCTGACCAAAACTTGCCTGCCCTGACCAAAACTTGCCTGCCCTGACCAAAACTTGCTTGCCCACAAAATATCTTCATATACCGGTACATGTCTACATTTAAACCAACGTTGGACGGGTGAAGTTGAGAATCTGTCAATATATAATAACCTGTCACGGGCGGTTGGGCAGGCAGGTATTCTGAACGCTGATGGTGCCAAAGTTTATCAAGCCAGTAGAGGAGAGGGGTGACAAAATAATAAAGATATCAATGTGAACATTATTTATGGAGTTTTCATTTATAAATGAGAAGTAGGGGTGTCGTGAATGATGCAAAATTGGGGGAGAGGAACATCCCTGCAACCAATCCCACCACCTGCATCCCCTGTAATCTCCTTTCCTTTCTAAAACACCTTGATAAAGGTCTGACAGGATTGACTTGCCTGCTAATGTGATTCTGAATCACTTGGGTCTTGGGGATTGGCCATCATGTAGTTTTAAATGCAGGTGAATCAATGTAGGAGATAGTAGGACAATTTACAGTGAAATATCAGCTTAAACACTGAAACTGTGCTATTTTGATACGTGTTTGTTATATGTCCAGACTACCAGTACCGCTACATCGCACAGGCATGTGATGGCCACACTCTGGTGGGGCTGGCTCGGTCACCGGATGTTGGGGACCGTTTCTTCCTGCCCCAACCCAAGCTGGTGCCCCTGAAGGTAATGGCTGCCATGTTGTAAGTGTTGTTTGACTAGTACAATGAAGCCTTGCTTGGTTGGGGAATGTCTGTATGTGATGACAGGGATAGAAATACTTTTTTTTCTAAGTGTGCCTTAGGGCACCAGGCAAATATTTTAGGTGTGCCTTTCAGAAATCAAGTGTGCCCACATGTTTTAAGAATAAATGACTGTAGCAAGGATGATGATTTTTTGAAATTTATTGTCAGAAAACAACAAATGTAACCAGTTTTCGGTTATCACTGATATGTCTTCTGCTTAAGATGGCTTTCTTATGTTACATTTGTTCTGCTTTCCCATCACCTTTAATAGCTAAGAATCGTGTGAGAGAGGTTCACTTTTTACAATATGTCTAACATACACAATTTACTCTTCACTAACCGAACTATCAGTACTCACAACACTCGAAATGGAAAAACAACCAGATTTCTTTACATCATCCATCATAATTCCAGTGATTTCCTGGGCGTAAAAGTCAATAAATGTTTTTGCTTGTTTGTCATTTGCTTAAGTGTTTTGTTTGGGGATTAAATGACTAAAGGTGTGCTATGTCTCACGTGCCATAAGGGCACCAAGAACATTTTTTATCTGTGCCATTTGGATATTTACCGTGCCATGACACGCTAATACATGGGGTATTTCGAACCCTGGATGACAATCACATGGTATTGCTGATTGTGTTTTGAGGTTTGTCAGCTTCTTACCCATGCTAATTGGTTTCACAAAAGTGATGTACAACCACTGTGTGTGGGAGGTCAGTAGTTTGATACCTGGCCTTGTCTTACCAGAACATGGCACGTATTGTTCCCCAGCTATGATCTCAGGGGATTTATTAAGGGACTGGTTGGCTAGGATTTTGTATACTGTTTCTTTGAGGGATGTTCATGTTAAATTATGGCATAGCTATACAGTCAGCTTGGCATTTTGAAACTGAATTACTTCACACTAGCACAAGCAAATACGAGTGCACTCATGCATGCATGCACAGGCACACACACACACACACACAAAAAACAACAACACACACACACACACAAACATGCACTCACACACACTCCTACTGGCAAACAAGGATAAGTTGGACCGGCGCAGAGATCGCGCTTACGAGCGGTAGAATAAGCAAACCTATTTGCTTTGTGAAAGGTAGAGCAGATGTAGGCTAATGCACATGCAGTGTATGACGATGAAATTGATTCTGCGCGTAGCTGCACATGCCTTGCTGATAAGACTGTCACGTGGTCACACTACACTTGATCGCAGACAACCTGGGGCCCCTTCGTTCACAATGGCAGGTCGGTGCTTATCCTTGTTTGCCAGTACACAAACTCACACTTGCAAACACACTTGTGCTTGCATATCACTCCATAAGTGCAATAATCTTGAACTCACATTTAAACAAACCACATTTCACCTCACCTCAACTCCTCACCTCACCTCACCTCACCTCACCTCACCTCACCTCCACATCAAACTGGCACACAGTTAAGAACTGAAATACTGTTCAAATCATTGTAAAACCCACTCACTCACTCACTCACTGATTGTGTGCTTCTGTTAGAGGAGCTGTGCTGCAGAGCTGCGGTCCCTGCTGTTGTCATTGCCGCTGGAGAACATCGGTGAGTGCGTTGAGTACTTCACATCCCTGGCACTGGAGAAAGGACAGGTCCAAGAAGATAAGGTGAGTTTACCCCAGAAGAAAATATCTCACACAAATGATCAACTGGTGACAACTATGAATGATAACATTATGTTATCTTTAAGTGAAAGAAATGAGCTGTTGCAGCACATGATAAATATTCCCTCTGTATTTGGAGTAACAGATTGTTCTACCAAATTATTGGACTGAAATATGAAAGTTGGGGTTTTACGTAAGTAGTTTAAAGATCTGATACAAACATACATGTCAAGGTGTGGTTGGGTCATTAAAAACATTGAATTACTTCAAGACTATCATTTGAATGGATATTTTAAATCACATAAATTGTACTATTTAGGTTTAACCTAATTTGGAAATATCATTTTAGTTTGGTATATAACTTGCAAATAATGATGCTTTGATTAAGACATCTGTTGTTTGTCTAGAGCGTCCTCTGGTCATTTGGAAATCCGTCTTACGACACCAACCAAACAGACAGACCCGTCCCTGAAGAAATCCAGCACTTGTACTACCTAGAAGCCCTAGAGAGTCACTCACAGGTTGGTAGATATACTGTATATAGGTTAGAGAGTCACTAACAGATTGATAGATATCCTGCACACAAAGATAAAAGATATGGAATCACACACAGGTCGGTAGATATACTGTATATAGCTTGAGGAGTTACAGCCTGTTCAGCTTGACCTGAGCTACACTACATATGCATGACCCGGGAGGTCAAATGGCACAAATGGCAGGTCGAGTTAACTTCATTAAATAGGGGAGCAGATTAATGTGATTAATGCCTAAAAGCCCGAATCGGAAACATTAGACCATCTGTAGCTTCCTTTTTAAAGAAAGTTAGGACATTGCTCTCCTTCACAATAACAGACCCATTCGGTTGTGACACAGTCACACAATGCATTAGTATTCGGTGACCGGACAAAATCCACCCCAAATTGCCACCCCGGACAAAATCTTCTTAACAAAAAAATGGACAAAATCCACCCTTCTCAAATTGCTATTGTTAAAAGTTTTAGTGTGTCCTGATCTTTGATCAAGTTTTTTTTCTCAAGCCTAATTGGCTGTTGTTCCTAGATGTTGTTTCAAACATTAAAGGTTTCTCCATTTGTCACATTTTGATCACTACTTAATCCTCTTTCATGTATCATTAAGTAGTCTCACACTTTGATCATTACGTAATCCCCTTAAAGAATTAAGATGTTTTTGCAAGCCTGATTAGAGCCCTTTATACTCATGTTTTAATATAACATCGATTATCGATTATGAATGACTGATATGAATAAAATTCATTTCTGTGACTAAACATGTCATTAGTTTTTTTTTTCTTAGGGTGGATTTTATAAGGGGTGGATTTTGTCCGGGGTGGATTTTGTCCAGGTGGATTTTGTCCTAGGTTGCAATTTTGGGGTGGATTTTGTCCGGGTGGATTTTGTCCTGGAATCTTAGTATTCGCTTGATCAGGTCAAGCTGAACAAGCTGTCCTCACATAATGATAGATATACTGCACACAAAGATATAAGATAAATGGGATATTACTCCAGTCTTCTTCTCTACTTCTTCACAATTCACCATACATCACGCAGCTTACTGAAGGCAATAAACACTTTATAGAGCCACAAGCTAAACTTATCCTCCCAACTGACCGTAAATACAAGTACAGGTACATGGACTGTTAACCATGTGAACTCCATGGGGGCACAATACATTTGCACATTGTTGTGTTCTTCCAGAGTAAGGCTCAGTGTGTCCAGATTGTACAGGAAGAAGGTCTCACCGCCCTGCTGCACCTGGTGAAGGAACTGCCATCAAACTCCACTCTCCATATTCCTCACCTGGTCACACAGATCATTGGCAACCTCAGTCTGTGGGACTGTCTTCATGAGGAGATTATCAGAACAGGTGAGATATGGTAATCTCAGTCCATGGGACTGTCTTCACGAAGAGATTATCATTTTCATGAAGATGTGTTTAGATGAGGGGAATATTGGAGTACCTCCCTGTCCACTGCCACCTATCTCTCTCCACTCCACTTATGTCTCTGCCCCTGTGATATGTCCCTGTCCTATCCCCTCTCATGTCCCCTGTCCTCTTTTCTGTCCTGTCTCCCTCCAGCTGTCCTCTTTGCTTTAGCCGGTCTCCTGGTCCCCATATTTTGTCTTTACCCCAGTCATCTGCCCGTGTCCCATTTGCTGTTCTCCATACCTGATACTCTTCCTGTTCCCATTCTATTAATTGTTCCTGTTCCTATTCTTGATCCTTCCGCTGTTCCTGCTCTGTTGCCTCTGTTCCTGAACCTTCTCCTGTCCTTCCTGACTGTCACTGACCCGAGTCCCCTCCTCCTTCCTGACTGTAACTGACCCGGGTCCCCCCGCCCTTCCTGACTGTCACTGACCCAAGTGCCCTGCCTTTCCTGACTGTCACTGAACCATCCCTTGTGTTGCAGGCTGGGTCCCAATACTGTCCCAGTGGATGTCCCACAAGGATCTGATGTTGTCCCAACTGGCTGGCCGAGCCCTGCTGAACCTAGACCGAGACAGCAGTGACTGTGTGTGTGAGGAGGGAGTCTATGTCATCCATCCGACACACAGGACAAGGTATTTTTGCCCTTCCAGATTTGTATGTATTCAGTGATACTTCAGTGTAAAGGAACTGGTCAATATCTGACTAAACCTTCTATAGCAGATCCCATTATTGAATCCTGAGCAAACTTTGAGCTAGCAAATAGTTAAGTGATCCACTCATCCCACTCACTCACTCACTCTGTATCCAATTCAGACATTTTATTTGGAACAAATTTGATGCCAATCAAAAAAGGAATAACACACAAAAACTGTTCTCAATTCAGTGGTACAGACTCCAGGAGCGTAGCAAGCCAATATTTTTCGTGTAAGCCCGATAGGTTGCAAAGCTTTATATTTAGATAGTATTGAGGGCTTGCCCAACCTTTTTAGTAAATATCATGTGTAAGCCTGGGCTTTTTTATATAATGAGTCCCCGCCCTTCCTGACTGGACTCTGTAAAAATAGTAATAGTTTCCATTCATAACTGCCTGTGTATATTTGTGAGGTGAGGTGAGGTGAAATTGGATTTTACGTCGTACTTGAGAATATTTCGCTCATATGACGACGTGCATGTGTGTATGTGTATGTGCGGCTGCTTGTACTAGCCCAGACTTAAGCTGGTTTTATAGTGCTAGCCCACTGAGATACCATGCCGCAGTGAAGCAGGAATACCCCACTCAGACACATTATACTGACTCCGAGCCAACCAGTCCTTGTTGTACCCATTAATGCCGAGAACCAGGCAGGGACCAACAAGTACCATATTTTAACGTCTTTTGGTATGACGCGGTCGGGGATGGAATCCGCGACCTTCCGCTCTCCGGGCGGACGCTCTAACCACTACACCACGGAGGCGGTCGTGTATATTTGTTTCATAGGCACCAAATATGTTGCTCCAAATGTTCATATCAAGAACTCAGGAGCCCCAATACAATGATTAGAAAGTTTGTGTAGTTGATCTGTATATGTAACCCAGTATTTGTCCCCTCCAGCGAGGATCCCTACTGTGATGTTGTGTTTGTACATGGTATAATGGGCGGCCCTTTCAAGACCTGGAGGCAGAAGGATGTGAAAGATCAGGACCAGTCAGAGACTCAACAGTCCATGTGCTGGCCCAAGGTACATACAGTGTGCTTGTCTTGAAGCTGCTGATATCTTTTGCAGGTTGCTTCATGTACCATTTTTGTAAGCTTTCGGACTGCATTTCTATTAAATATATAACTGGGCAACTTGTATCAGCAGGCAGCTGTGTCTTGAGTCTATATAGGTTCAGGGTTCTGTGAGTGGTGGGTTATGAAGAGAACTGTTGCCCTGAAGATCCGGGTTATAATTGGTCTTCAGTAACTCATGCTTGTAAGAGGTGACTACCGGGATTGGGTAGTCAGACTCGCTGACATGGTTGACACATGTCATCGTATCCCAATTGCATAGATCAATGTTCATGCTGTTGCAATTGAGCACTGGATTGTCTGGTTCTGACTCGATTATTTACAGACCGCAGCCATATAGCTGGAAAGTTGCTGAAAGCGGCATAAATTTAACTCATTCACAGAGGCTGACATCCATAAAGTTTATGTTTACACAATATGAATGAACACATCATGTCCTGCCCTTCAGTGTTAAACATCAAACACAAACAAATGAGCACTGTGTTAGGATGGGTTATAATGTTCATTCATTCACTCAATTACTCACTCATTGTACAGGACTGCCTCCGTGGTGTAGTGGTTAGAGCATCCGCCCGGAGAGCGGAAGGTTGCAGGTTCGATCCCCGACCGCGTCATACCAAAAGACGTTAAAATATGGTACTTGTTTGTCCCTGCCTGGCGCTCAGCATTAAACTGTACAACAAGGACTGGTCGGCTTGGAGTCAGTATAATGTGTCTGAGTGGGATATTCATGCTTCTCTGCGGCATGGTATCTCAGTGGGCTAGCACTATAAAACCAGCTTAAGTCTGGGCTAGTACAAGCAGCCGCACATACACATACACACGCGTGCACGTCGTCATATGAGCGAAATATTCTCAAGCACGACGTTAAACCCAATTACACATTACCTCACCTCATTGTACAGTGGTACATGATTACACAAGTCAGATGTTGATAAACCTGACTTGACCCTCTGTGCAGGACTGGCTGGCGCGAGACTGCCCCAACACTCGGCTGTTGACGGTGGAATATGACACACACGTCAGCGAGTGGTATGTCCGCTGTCCTCACAACAGAGAGAGGTGAGACTTGTTTTGTCAGTTTGTCATTGCTTTGCAAAGATGTTTGCCCAAAATTCAACTGATCAGAATCTGTTTTTGATAATATCAGTGCCGAAATTACAATGTTCATGATACAAGATGCACTATTTTACCATTCTGCCATCTTCGTGTACGCCACCCATTGTGAGCCTTCTGTTGATGGGGGAGTATGTATCAGGTCTTGGAGACAGCCCATAGATGACATCCTTACCTTGTAAGCTTGCTGACGGAGTTGCTGGTTCAGACTCATTATTTACAGACCGCTAAACTCACTCACTCACTCAGTCTTAGGTCATGTGGACAAGGTGTCCTGCTTCAGATCAGAATGTCGATGGTTCAAATCCCAGCACAGGACTCAGAAATTTTATGGCCGATGCACAGTAGCACGTGCAACAGCCAACAGGCATTGGATCATGTAAATAGTCGTCTTGCAGGTAGTCATTTCGCAGGAAGTTAATAAGCCATCAGTTTTCAATGGTAGAGTCTTCTCTCAGTGTTTTTCTCCAGCTAGCCAGATTACACATTTCTGTTGTTGAGATATTCATCACTAGGGAGTAATGGATGACAGTCAGTTTAAACTAAAGCCAATGTGTAGAACACTAATGTACAACACATATGTAAAAACTGTCTTAGGGGATTAAATTACTGTGTTTCAGTCGGACAGTTGAGATGCGTGGGCGGAGTCTGATGGAGAAGCTACACAAGGCTGGTGTGGGATCTCGGCCAGTCATCTGGGTGGGGCACTCCATGGGAGGTTAGCTCAACTCATTTTTATAGATGCCCAAGAAAGCAGAAATGTAAATGATAATGGCAAGGAAGATTTAAGTTTGGTGAACTCAAGAGCTGTTGCAAATGGTTATTCTCCTTTCTCTCAGGATATGTGGAACCAGATTTGCTGAGATTCAGTGTGTGTGTCTCCATAAGTTTGATGTGTTATATATGAACAAAATTCAAACTACTGTAAAAATGTAGTTATCTTTTTAATAATTATCATTTTGATATTTGGTTTCAATGTCAACAGACCCATGAAGAATCATTAGAATGACAGCATGTGGCAACTAACGGGGTTGGGTGGTCAGACAAGCTGACTTGGTTGACACATGTCATCGTATCCCAGTTGTGTAGATTATTGATGCTTATGATGATGATCACTGGATTGTCTGGTCCAGAATTGACTATTTACAGATCGCAGTCATGAAGTAGAAATATTGCTGAATGTGGCATTACAAAACAAACAAACATCAGCAAGTTTTGTTGATCACACAGTTGGGTGAGCTTCAGTCCCTGTCGCTATTTTATGAATATCAAGATTTGACACATGACGTCTTATTTATCTTCCACTTATATGTCCTTGTACAAATGTTCGTCCAAAACATGATGATTGATGAGATTGATAGTGCCCCTGTGCACAGGTCTCCTGGTGAAGCAGATGTTGACCATGGCCCAGGAAGACCCCAGGTTCCAGCCGCTGGCCACTCAGACCCGGGGGTTGGTGTTCTACAGTGTCCCCCACCGGGGGTCCACCCTGGCAGACACCACGAGCCAGGCCCGGTACCTTATCTACCCCTCTGTAGAGGTGCAAGAACTCAGTGCAGGTGACTCATGTTACAGGTAGCCTCATCGCCATCAGTAGGCTGGGGCTTACACATCATCTGCGTGTACAGCAACTCTGATGATGCCTAAATTTTGTTCATCTAAACAGCACTCCTTCAATCCGGGACCAAACAAGTTGTTTGTGCGATGCTCGGTTGTAGAGTCAGTCCACAGATGGCATCCTTACCTTGTCAGCTTGCTGATGGGGGTTAACCTCTTTGGTCATGTGGACAAGGCGTCTGACTTCAGATTAGAAGGTCCGTGGTTCGAATCCCGGCACGGGACTCGGAAATTTTATTGCCGCTACACTTGGTTGTAGAGTCAGTCCACAGCTTGCATCCTTTTAGCTTGCTGATGAGGTTAATATAATTTTTTCTTATCCTGACTCATGCTTATTTGCTTGTCTTCTTCTTCTGGCGAACCTAGTGGAACACTTGTATCTCCCAATTGAAGTTCCCTTCAATAAAGAATCACTCATTAGTACTCACCACGAGTTACCTCCCTTCTGTAAGCGCGGGAACGAGGGCGCCACCCAAGCCCATGTGCCTCACTCTCTCCTTCTTCGCCCAGTGAGCTGGACGTGAGAGCGCCTGTGTCTCCCAACACACTATATCCTTTAATTATATTTAGTTAGTTCCTCTTATACGTTAGTATAGAGGTAGTACTAGTATAATTATTCAATTTGCATTGATTATTAATTGTGTTTCTGCTGTTTTATTCACGGTTCGTCGTGTTTGTTCAGTAGGCTACATTAATGAAAAATTGCACAGAATGTAAACTACGTTATTCTGATACCGATCCACATTTAAAATGCCCTAGTTGCATTACTCCATGTTCCTTTGATTCTCGTTGTAAATTTTGTATCAATTTACCTATCTCTGCCTTTGACAAATATTTATGTTCCGTTTATAGACGGAAGGCAGATAAATCCCGTAAACAGAATTCAAACATGGCTAATAGATTGCAAATTAATGTTTCATGTCAACTGTTGACTGAGGACGCCACCCGGCTGGTGGCATGCCTGAGTTTCCCTCGGCGGATAAGCGTGGGGCCATGATCCGCTATGTCCAAAGCAACCTGCATCTCAAGAGCTGCCGTCTTCTCAGTCAAGTCGAGGAAACCATCCATATCATCTCAGTATTACACTCGTACACCAAGATCTACACCTTCATCTAAAGGGAAGTCAACAAAATCTAATAATTTTGCCTCTGATATCTTACCAGTTACAGAATTAGCATTATATGATGATGATTTGCCAATTATCATTCCAGAAGTTCGTCACAAGAAACGGCCCGTTTCTGCGACTGTCACCTCAGCGCAGATGAACACACAACCGGAGATGCCGACTCTATCTCCAGAAATTTTATCTGAGGGGTCCGTCACCTCTGCAGAGAGACATCCCTCATCAGCGCATGAACCGCTTCAGGCGACTTGATCAACCACATAATGAGGGTGATGGAAGACTGCTACGGCTTACAGAGGCCTCAGAGCCACGGGCCTCAGAGCCCACCCCATATTAAGTCATACAGGGCCTCAGAGCCCGCCTTGGCTCCGCGTAGGGCCTCTGAGCCCATAGGCGCGCCTCCGAAGAAGGCAACCCTGCCGGGTGAGCTCTTTGCATAAGGTATCCCAGGCGCCTCCGTGGAAGGAGCCAGAGCCTCACCTTTTGCAAGAGGCTTGCGGAGAAGGAGGGCTTCGCCGAGCACGCACCTTGTCATGCGAAGAGCGTCCTGCGAAGCAAAGCTCATATGTCGGATCGGACACTGACTCCAGACATTAGCGTGGGGCCGAAGGCTAAGTGGTTCTACATCGCCTAGAAGGCGATCGGCGTAGCCCTCAGCGTTCGAGAAGTCCAGGCGTCTGCGAAGCCATCACCGTTCCACGAAGCCCACAATCTCCAGCGAAGGATGTCTTCTCCAAGGTCTACATACACTAGCCACTTTCGTCAGTCCGTTCTCCTCAGTCCTCACATAGATCTTCTTACAGATCGAGGACTCCGACATATCTGACCATCGTCAGAGGAGGGCGATGGTATCATTTTCTCAGAGGCTGAGATAAGGTATTGGATGGTAAGCGAATTACAACTGGCCTCTCCCTCTAAGAGCGAGGATACAGCCCAAACTTACCTGATGTTAGATGATGATGTAGATCATATCACCGTGCCTCCTATGGATCCTATCGCGGCCGTTCCTGCTAAACTGGATACAGCCTACTCCAAATCTGCTAAAACTCAACTTACCCATTTACCATTCTTCAATGCCAAGAGTTTTTATGGACATAATATGGAGCCCTTTTTCAAGACTCAGGAGATTGATGAAAACTTTAAACTTATCAGTGATTCCAAGTCCAGAAGTTATAGGGTAGAGCGATGTAAGATGGCCCAGTTAGATACCATTTCAGAAGGATGTTCTTTGGACTCAACAGATCTAGGACTGTTAGCGAAACTCTCATCACCAAGTTCAAGAACTCCGCGGATGAGGAAGACAGGATGATCTATTCAGCTCTACTTATGCAGAAAAAAGATCAACAATTCCTTACAGACCATCTTTCAGCACTTACTGAAACTACTACCATGACCATTCGGCAAGGATTACTAGCCTCCTGCTCTTGGAATAAACAATTCACAGAGCCCCTATACACAGCTCCATGGTCTTCACCCTTACTGTTTGGTGGCAACATTAACAAGGTCTCCAAGGAAGTATCAAAGATTCTAGAGAAGTACTCATGATTAAATCTATGGATACATTAAGCGCCGCGTCTTTAAACAATCTGCACAGAGGTATTTTCGGGCAAGTCCAAGTTTTCAGGGCTACAGAGAGCACGGGATAAGAAATTAGCGGCCGTTAATAATCCCAAGGATTCCTTTAGGTAAGCCCGTACAACAAGTTCAGAGGAGGATCAGCTAGAGGCAGATCATCCAGAGGTGCCGATGGATTTAAGCGATGAAAGTCAGGTTCGGAGCGACTGGAGTCTTCCACCCCAGTCGTCCCAGTACAACCTTCTCAAGTGGGTGGGCGTCTACAACTACACTGGGAAAACTGGGGAATACTTCAAGATCATTATGTATCCAACATCCTTCGAATGCGGATATCGTCTACAACTCAAGGCCAAGCCACCGTTAACAGTCAACCCACCAGGGTTCAGCGTTCATCTGGCACAACTTCCGATGTTAAGAGAAACAGTTCAGTCTCTACTAAACAAACAGGCCTTAGAAGTTCTCGATCAGCAAAACATCATACCAGGTTTCTACTCCCCAGTTTTCCTAGTGCGAAAAAGAATTCCAAAGAAGTATCGTCCTCATTTACAACATGAGCACATTCAACAGAGAATTTCTATGCAAACCACCAGCGTTTAGCATGATACATTTACCTCAACTCCGTCATCTAATTAGTCCACTAGATTACATGGTAAGTATAGATCTGCAGGGATGCATACCTACACATTCGATTCATCCCAGTTCAAGGAAATATCTGAGATTTATGCTAGGCGGCATACACTACCATTGGAAAGTACTTCCCTTCGGAATCACGCCGGCCCCATGGATATTCACAAGAGTAACCAAGCCTGTTGTCTCATACCTACATCGTCAAGGCCTGTGGAATGCATTTTACCTAGGCGGCCGGTATACAGGTGGATCCAGATCCACAGGCGTCTCAGACTACAGCTGAACTTTACAGTCAAGCTACTAAGCGCGCAGTTAGGCTGGTCAGTAAATCTACTCAAGTCGGACCTAGAGCCCACGCAGGATCTGCAGTTTCTAGGTATCACGATTCCTTACAGCGCAGAATCATTATGGTGAAAGGTTTTAGTTTGGTTTTGAATGTCTCAAGGGTGGGGGATTCTTTAATGTTCTGAGGTAGTGGGTTCCATAACTGAGGTGCTGCTACTTGAAACGATCTGTTGCCGTAGGATTTTAGTCTTGAGTTTGGTACTGCAAGTAGGCATTGGTTTTCAGATCTTAGGCGTCGTGAAGGCTGGTATGGTGAGATCAGTTCTGATAGATAACTTCGGTGCTGTACCATTCAAACAGTGGTAGGCAAAACACAAGATCTTGAAGTGGATCGGGCTTCTATTGGTAGCCAGTGTAGGGACATCAATACCCCGGTGTTATGTGGGATCTTTTGGTGCACGACTCACGATACGAGCTGCCCTATTTTGTACCTTCTGGAGTTTGTTCAGCAGATCCTGACTCAAACCATACAACAGACTGTTGCTGTAGTCAATGCGGGACATCACAAGTTGTTGGACTAGTGTTTTTGTTACGTCCTTGGTAATAAGATGGCGGATATTACCAATACTTCTTAGATGGAAGTAGCAGGTCTGGCACACTTGATTAACTTGGGCTTCCATTGACAAGGGAGAATCAAAGATGACACCCAGGTTCTTTGCTTTGTCGGCTGAATGGTATGAAAGAGTCTCCACAGTCACTGGCGTGATATTCAACTGTTGGATCGCTGTCTGGGTCCAGCGGTAAGGCCTCAGTTTTTCCATCATTCAGTTTTAATCTGTTTGACATCATCCATGTTTTTATTGATTTAGTGCAGTCAGTAGTTCTTGCAAGTGCATCGACTGGCCGCTTGCTTTGGAAACCTTGATATAGCTGGGTGTCGTCAGCATATGCATGGTGGTTCAGCCCATACTGTCTGATGCTGGAGCTGAGACTACTTGTGTACAGCACAAACAGGACTGGACCTAGCACAGATCCTTGGGGAACCCACAGGGTAGTCGCGATACTTTCAGATTTAGTATCACCAATCATAACTTTGACTGAAGTCTGTTGCTCAAATATGAGCATAGATGGATCAAGATACAACAACTGATCCCCAAGCCCTACTCTCTCCGTTACCACTCGTCAGTGGCAGAGTCTACTGGGACTACTCACATCAGCTCAAGACTTGACACTCAGAGGCAGGCTTCAATTCGTCCATTACAAGTCCTCATCAATGCCCATCTCGAGGACCCTCTACCGTTCAGTCTACCAGATTACATCAAACCACATCTACTCTGGTGGACCAAGAGATTGAATGTTTGCACAGGCGTCTCCTTAGTAGAGCGAATCGAAGCACACATCTCGTGGGCGCAGCGTCACTAAAAGGTTGGGGAGCCCACCTTACGGGCAGGACAGCGTCAGGCCTATGGAGCATTCAAGAGAGCTTATGTCACATAAATCTGCTAGAGATGCAAGCAGTCATAAACGCCATAGGTCACTGGAGCAACCTATTACAGAACGCTCAGTTAATGATTCACACAGACAACTCAACAGTGGCGTTTTATGTGAACAAACAAGGGTCAACAAGATCACTGAATCTTCTCACTCGATGTTTCAAACTGTTGATTTAGTCGACAGTCTAAACATCACGATATCAAAGCCTGCCACATTCAGGAGCAAAGAATGTGTTAGCAGGCGCTCTCTCGGCCGCACCAACCGTCGCCGACAGAATGGATGCTCCACACAGAGATATTCAATCAGATAATCATGGAAATAGGATCTCCTCTGATAGACCTATTTGCCACCCGATTCAACAATCAACTGACAACCTTCGTATCGCCAGTGCCAGATCCGTTAGCTTGGGCAACGGACGCACTAAGCATATCATGGGAGGGACTAAAGCGTGCGGCTTTCCGCCTCCTGCGTTAATCCCACAAGTCTTGCTAAAATCAGTCAAGCGAAGAGCCTCGATCTGATTTTGGTCTGCATATACTGGCCAGCGAGAGCGTGGTTTCCAGACCTCATACTAGGAATCGGAAAACCAGTACTTCAGCTCCCACTACGCTCCAATCTACTGATACATCCGCACACCAAACAAGTGCACAAAACACCAGAAGCATTCCGACTTCACGTGTGGATTGTATCAAGGCATGTTTGAATAAGAGGTTATTCCACCAGAGGAAGGCGGTCGCGCTTACACACGTAACTCTACTCGTAACTTATCACGATGACAAATGGCTCAGATTTGTCAATTATGCTGCTAAGAAAGGATTTTCAGCCAGATTTGCTACACATCCTCAAGTGGCAGATTTCTTATGTTTCCTACGTCAAACTAAGAATCTAAAAGGATCTACACTGTCCACTTATCTTGCAGCCATAAGTTCAGTCATAACAATGAGAGCGGGCGTCAAATTGACCAAAACACCAGAGTTACTTTCGCCTTGTTACGTGCCTTTTCGATTGGAAGACCAGAAGCGGAAGTTTCAAAGCGCCAGCCTGGGATCTAAATGTGGTACTTCAACACCTCACAAGTGAGGGCTTACGAGCCATTGTTATCTGCGTCATATGAATCATTGACCCACAAAACCTTATTCCTGCTAGCGTTAGCCACTGCGCCAGGATGTCTGAAATTCAGCTTTGGATTCGAGAGAACCACGATTTGATGATATTCATAACATCGGCTCATCTGGGACCGGCTGGGATTTTATAGCGAAAAATCAACTACCAGGTCAACCAGACAGGTTGTTCCATGTCCCAGCTCTCTCATCCATACTTGGACGCGGGATCACGATGGACTTATCACTTTGATGGTGCACTGAAAATATATCTCCAAAGATCCAAGCAAAGTAGAGGGAAATTCAAAGATTGTTTATCCCTATATCTACCGCCTCACAGACAGAAGTGTCGCGCACTACCATTTCTATTTGGATCAGAACTGTCATACTAAGAGCCTACAAGGCAGCTGGACTGGACCCTCCAAGTGCTACTAATCCTCACGAAATTAGAGCACTAGCTTCAACTTTGGCTTTACATGGAAATTGCTCATTGAATACCATCATGGAGGGATGTTTTTGGAGATCCGATATGGTGTTTGCCAACCACTATCTGAGAGATATCACCACCAAGGATGTCTCAGGTATCCACCATTTAGGTCCCATGGTCCTCGCTCAACAGTTGACAGTTCCACCCGGAGAAGATAAGTCTATCTTGTTGATTTTATACTTATCTGATAACAGTACTAATAGCTACATGCTATCTATATATATTTGCTTAAGTTAAAATATTATCTTAAGCTCAGTACTATGATTTATATCATAATATATATATACCTACAACTCTTACGAGTTTCTACTATTATATATATGTTCAGCTTAAGTTCTTCCTTAAGCTCAGTCATATGTTCATTTCATAACATGTATAAGTTAACAAACTATCAGTAGTTGGTTACTATTATACAGCTTAAGTTATCTTTATACCTTAAGCACAATTCTGTTATAGCTTATATATATACATATTGTAAGCTTACTACTTTGGTTCTTATAAAAGTATTCATTATAAACTATCAACAGTTTATACTATCACATTAATGGCCTTAGCTTAATTAATGTTCTATATACTTTTATTATATGCAGTAAATTGTAATAACCTTCTTTAAAGGCAGCTGTTATATTAACAGCAGGAATTCAGTTCAGTGCCTTCATGAAGTTCCCATCACGGTTATTGCAATCATATCACTTCAAATCACTAATTAGTAAAATCCAAAGTATATATAATCCCACCTCCTAATCCGTAGGGATTCTACAAACAAATAAGCATGAGTCAGGATAAGAAAAATATGAAATTTTTAGAGTAAAATTAATATTTTTATACTTATCCTGACTCATGAGGTAAGCCCTCCCGTCCTCCCCACTTAACACTTTGGATTTCTCGGGGAAAAAGAAAGTGTTGGGCTCAAAGCAAAAAGGAGAGAGTGAGGCACATGGGCTTGGGTGGCGCCCTCGTTCCCGAGCTTACAGAAGGGAGGTAACTCGTGGTGAGTACTAATGAGTGATTCTTTATTGAAGGGAACTTCAATTGGGAGATACAAGTGTTCCACTAGGTTCGCCAGAAGAAGAAGACGAGCAAATAAACATGAGTCAGGATAAGTATAAAAATATTAATTTTACTCTAAAAATTTCATTTTTGTCATATTTGGATATGGCATCTTATGGCCAGAAAATATGAGGATCAAATCCTATCAGAATGCAGACCAATTTTAATAGCTGCTACATTATCAACCACTGATCAAATTATTGAAAAACTTGGCCCCCCTATGCCACCAAATTGTAATCTATCAATGTCTCATTGAACTGGCATACAAAGACATACAAAAAATACAGTATTAGGATTATTTCTGAAAATATACCCACAAATATTGAGAAAAGTGTTTTGATTGTGAATATGATTGTGAGAAACATTACGTACTCGACACCAAAACACTACCGACATTGCTCCTGATTGCAACATTGCCACGCCGTGTACTCCTTGTCAAATGTAGACCATTTCTTTTGTTTGTCAGTTGTTTTCTTGTACAATATCTGCTCTGCATATTTTTGTTCACCTTTTAATTATGATCTATTCAACCTAATGTTGAACATTCTCAAGACAAAACCCAGAGAGCTAGAGAACTTGATGGCACTTTCAGATTCTCCCCACCTGAAAGTCCTCCATGACAAGTTCCTGACCTTCATGAAGGACAACAGCGTGCCCTGCATCAGTTTTGGGGAAACCTCCAAGACATCCCTGGGGAAGAACCTCCCTAAAGTCCACATCGTCCCTCCAGAATCCAGCAGTGAGTACACACTTGGGAGACAAACACTTGGAACAGATGGTGGTTGTAAGATGTTTCCAATGTCATGATTTCTGGGCATAAGTGAGTGAGTCTGTTTAGATTTACGTGACATCAGCAGTATGTTATCCATATCATGACTATCAGGGCATGAAGTACTGAATGACACATTCAAATCTGAAAACAACCTTTTTTGAAATTGTGAAACACAGGAGTTTTCAGTAATGTTCCAACAGACCTCTCAGTGTGACAAGGCGACACTCTGGAAAACTATAACATTATGATACTGTTTGTTGACGCTGGATGGAGAACTTAACTTGCTTGGTTAGAATAAAGTTGAGAAGCCACTAAATCAGTGTTGTTCTGGTAGGTGTTGATAAACCATAATACATGTATATAGTTGATGTTGTAACCATTTTACCAAGACTGATGTGACAGTTTTATTCAAATTTGGGACTGAAAAAAAAGAAAAGTAATCATACTAGATGAAAAGTATGAAAGATTTCCTGAGTTGGGCTCATAAGCTTGCTGTGATTATTTGATGGATACATTAATCAATGTTTTGTACAAGGTTTAAAGCCCTGTTTAATACCAGAGGCCCAGATAAGCTGCGTATTTGGGTAAAATACGCACAGAAAATTTCCAATTACGCATTGAAAAATAATTGTTGCGTACCAATTACGCATTTAAAATGTTAGATACGCACAAAGTTTAAAACAGATGCGTACGGAATATATCTATAAATATCTCTTACGTAATGAAAAAGACATCGATTGGTATCAAGTTGTATTGTTAGTATAGGACTAGTGTTGTACTGTCAGTATAGGATGAGTGATTTTTTTATGAAATCATTCCTATTATATTTAAGTTGGGTTTGCATCGGTATGACATAAGGCAGAACATACCTGCTTAGTAAACATACTCAATGAAATACCCAAATATTTGAAAGCAGTGGGTAACGGAAAATGAAATACCCACTCAACATTCATAATACCCAATCCAAAAGAAAAGACAGTGGGTACAGTACCTACATGAGCTAAATCTTATCTGGAGCTCTGTAATACAATCAAATAAATATATGTGAGGAACTTGTTACAACCCTTCATGCAAGGTTTTATGAAGATATCTATAATCCTGCTGAAAAAGTACGAGAGGACTTCTGTGTTTGAACGTTTTGCAGATCCTGACGTGGGAGAGTTCTACACCTTCAGTGAGAACCACATCAACATCTGTAAGCCTGCGGACCCAACATCAAACCTGTATGTGTTGCTTCTGAAGCTGGTACGTAACTGTGTCCTACAGAGCAAGGTGGAGGGTTTCCTCAAGGCCGGGATTTCCTTCAGCGAGATCAGAGACTAGCAGAAACCTTATAAACTTGTCTCTTGTTATTGAGAAGATGGAGTGTTTAACGAGGACGGGATTTCCTTCAGCGAGATCAGAGACTAGCAGAAACCTTATAAACTTGTCTCTCGTTATTGAGAAGATGGAGAGTTTAACGAGGACGGGATTTCCTTCAGCAAGATCAGAGACTAGCAGAAACCTTATAAACTTGTGTCTTGTTATTGAGAAGATGGAGTGTTTAACTAGGCCGGGATTTCCTTCTGCAAGATCAGAGACTAGCAGAAACCTTATAAACTTGTCTCTTGTTATTGAGAAGATGGAGTGTTTATCGAGGACAGGATTTCCTTCAGCAAGATCAGAGACTAGCAGAAACCTTATAAACTTGTCTCTTGTTATTGAGAAGATGGAGTGTTTAACGAGGATGGGATTTCCTTCAGCGAGATCAGAGACAAGCATCACAGCATTGTATGAGATTCATCTAAGAGTGACGATGGATGGATGGATGGAGGGAGGGAGGGAGGGAGCATGGATGGTTATTCCAACAATATCACATCAGGGGACAAATGAAATAGACGTCACACATAGTGACCATGTAGAATATTGAACCCAGGCCCTGACATGAGGAGCAAACACATTGACCACTAGGCTACCCCCACTGCCCGTTTATACATGTGAGAGTGAGTGAGTGTATAAATAGGGATTTACGCCATTCACATTCAGCATTATCCGAGTATCAATCAAGAAAGTGTAAATCTGATGTCATCAGTAGCTCCAATGGCGCAGTGTTTATGTAAAATAACGGGATTTTGCAATATACTGTAGCCCCTTCTTAATTACATTAGTCTCAGATCAATGGACCAGTGAACTTGTCTATCCCTGTGAATGGTGAGCACTTGTAATACTACAATCCAGAGAGGGGACCATGTACACTAAGCATTTCACCATAACAACACCAGATTTTAAACGTAGAAAACCTTGAATCATTTGGTGTCTGCAGTGTCTTTGTTGTTGAGTTTGCTCCCTGATTTGGAGCAGGAAGAGTGGACGCAACTAGAAAACTGATGAGGTGGTGAGGTGGTATGCTTGACAGTTAGGGGATGACTCTCCCAATGTCCCCGTACATAGTTTTAAGATCGTCCCTGAAAAGACAAAATGCAAATACACTATTTATTTTATTATAAATGAACATGTTTACATGCCACAAACTTTGTTTATCATTCTTTTGTAGCAGCACTAATCTGTAGTTAAATTAAGAAAATAAATTGACCATATGTTTTAACAGTATTCCAAACATTTTGTAAACAGCCAAAATGTAAGCGAGGCCTAAGTGCAGCTTCAAAGTAAGGTCATACAGAATGGCTCTGTGGAAATGTTTGGAGGTCTGCTTTGATAAATATCTTCAGGAGAATCCACTGATGGGAGGATGGGTATCACCTGATCTCTTTTGCTGCATAGGGTGTCAACTGAAGTTGTCACGTGGTGTAAAGTGCTCACTAAAGGGACATAACTCTGTATGTCTTCTGTGTAATGCAACACATACATTGCCTAGTCGTGGCTCATTATAAATGCTAAATGACTAACTATTTGTTTTCATTTCAACATAATTGCATTAGAAGTTGTTTAGGGTGATTCAATGGCTGCCATAAATACTTTCCACAACAATCACTCATCTCCATGAGTTTGGCTTACAACATGATTTTGTAAGTGAATACCTGTTTTCAAAATCCTGAGTTCACCACTAAGAATGTGATGATTCCAAATGTAGACACCTGATAAAGTATCGATGATGTACAGAGTATATATTGTAGCTGTGAAAGATATGTTTATACTATAAAACAGTGACCTGTCATCTGTTGTCGGATGAAGATATGTTCTCTCTGAACCAGAATATTTGTTTTTTTTCTGCTCACTGTTTTAAGCTTAGTTCTGTTACCCTCATCTGCCATTACCACAAATGTTTTACAACAAATATCTTTTATATTTTATTTTGATAAGTTGCACATTTGATATTGTGCAAGATGTTTTACTAACATTAAATCAATCCTCCATTAAAGTGTATTTGATGGGTTTGTTACATTAGGCAGAATTAAAACATAATCCCGATTTAGTTTAAGTATTTTGCAAAATATATGGAGGAGGTTTTGCTGCATCTAATGTCCAGATCAAATATGTTTGATAACAGATAACAGATATAATACATGTCAAGAAGATACATATATTTTTATTTCCTTTTGTGATTTTTCATAATTTTAAAAAAGATTTTCAACGGAAGTTATTTGTAGTATATTAAGAAATATGTATTACAGAATTATCAAGTTTATTTGAACGCTTTACTTTCTGTTTGAAGGAATAAAACAAATGCAGCTTTTTATTTCTGTTTCTTTTTTATTTTATTTTTTTTAATCGACAGTCATAAACCAAGTTTGAATATCCTCAGGGTGTATATAGATTTGTTTCTTTTCAGATAAATAAATCCTTCTTAAAAGAAATTATCACTTTGCATTCTTTCATTACCGGTAATAATTTGTGTTATACATATGCTCAACTAACACGCGTGTTGCTGACAGCAACTCGTCCTCATTTGTCCAGGGTGGTTTATTTCCTTTCTATTGTTATATATACCCAGGATCTGTGAACTGCCATATCTCTGTTGAGCCCATTTCAGGTGGTTCAAAATGGCCATCAAATTACTCTCTTAAACAAAAGAAATGCTGTGTCAAAGTAGGTGTAATATAAGTGGTGACTATTTTAGGAATATCCTACATTGGCGAATCTGTCAAGGGCAATTATCAAAAAATACCCTTGATAACTGAGAATGACTACAGTGTAAAATGCCCTAAGATGCCACTCAATATAGTTAAACACCTGATTCTTTCATATTACTCAAGCTATAACAGATTAGTGTACACAATAGAATCTGGTGTTCCTTAAATTTTTTTGAACAGTATATGTGTACACACTTGTATGTGAATGTGTATGTATAGACAGTGAATAAGATGTCAATACCAGTTTTGTGTTATGGTCTCAAAACTTTATTTGATGTAACACTTGTTATATTTGGGATTACACTTTCTCAGTAAAGTACTGGTTCTAGTACTTTTGTTGGGTTGAGTCCCGTCAGGGATTCGAACCCACACTCTCAGAGTTATGTACCTAATCACCAGAATATTGGAATTCATCCATATTTCCATCAATGTTCCTATAACTCGTTTTAACCTAAATATTTGTTGCTTAAAGCAGCACACATCGATATTCCAGCTACTTGCTGCAATCTGCAAATAATCTTGTCTTGACCAGACAATCCTGTGATTAAAATCATGAGCGTCAAACCAAAATACACTATGGCAGCATTGAAACCTACATTCCCATGAAGTAGTCTCAGAACCTGTCTGTAATATTCCAGCATTGTAACCGCAGTCTGTAAACAAGTATAAGTGAATCTTGACCAGACAATCCAGTGATTGACACCATTAGCATCAAACCAAAATGTATAATGGCAGCATTGAAACCTACATTCCCTTGAACTTGTCTGAGAAGTAAAATACAGGGGCTTATTTTCTTACAATTGTCTCCAAGGAATGGTTGGTTCCATAATGGCCTGACTATTTAAGCACACAAAAGACCAATTACTAATCTTGTTAATAAGCACATTTCCTAAATTAGAGTGCTAAATTCTTTTATGATCCCATTTGCTTCAAGGCTTTTCAATGACGTTCACACACAGTTTAGTGCTGTGAGGGAATTGTGTTACTGCTCTTAAGTAATTTGATGTCCATTAAAGGTGTAATGTAATTCTAATACACTTCATCTAATTCAGTTGGTACTGAGTTAATTATTTTCGACAAGTAAAGCTGGCTGATAAGGCAAGGGAGATAACCTGGTTAGTCTCTTGTCTCAGCTTTTAAGGCTCTCTGTTGACAATATGTTGACACTCAGAGGAAAAGACCAGGCGTTAAAATGAGATG